GTGATGTTGGGGAAAGAAGTCAGGAAGTAGAGATGATTCTATGATTATATCTTATCTCTCTAGAGTGAGGCTAATGCCATGACTGGTCAAGATACAGCAGTCACTCATATTAGCCAGGATAATGAATGTTCGGTCACGTTTATGGTTTGAACATTGTTCTTTCTTACTTTTTTTCTCCCCTTCTGTGTTCATACATAATTACAGTTGATCTTAAAAGAGCTAAGGGTATTGCCCATGGATGTGAGGAGAAGTTGGGTCAGGCAGTTGGGAACATTTTGGAGGGCTCTGTGTACCATTTTAGGAATTGAATTTCTGGGGGTGAATTGCTGAATTACTATAAGGGGAGAGCCGTCATATTTAGAAAAATCCATTTTGTTGCCAGGCAAAGGATGGATTGAGAAAATCCATCTGAAAGATCAGAGTCAGGGAGATGAATTAGAACTTTACTACTTATAGGTTTTTTTTCGGGGGGGGGGTTCACCTGGGAGCTTGTTAGTAGTAGAGAATCTGAGGACCCATCCTATACCTGCTATATCAGAATCTGAATTTTTAACAAAATTCCCAGATGATTTATAGTCATTTTAAAGTTTGCAAGACCCTTTGTTAGGGGAATTACCATAATCCCAGTAAGAAGTAATAAAGACCTGAACCAAGGTACTGGTAGCAGAGGTGGAGAAATATGGAGATATTATTTATTCAATAATTATTAGAAGCCTCCTACATGCCTGGCACCATCCTGGGAGCTGGAAGAACTACAATGAAAATAGTTTCTCCCCTCAAGACACTTCCAGTCTGGTGGGAGAGACTGACAAGTGAAACTGGCTAGTAAACTGTAGCAGGGAAAGTGGAGCTCAGGATGCAGTGAGAACACATCAGTGGGATATGGGTCTTGATGGAGTTTAGTTAAGGATTTCTCGAGGAGGTAACAGAACTCTAAGCTGAGTCCCAAAGGACAAATCAGGTGAAAGTGGTAGAGGGCATTCCTGGCCCAGGAGCAGCAATCGGCCAAGGCCTGAATCCCAGAAAGGGATCCTGGGTGGCACTTACTGGAGCACAGAGTGGGGTTAGAGAAATGAGCAGAGGCCAGATACAGAGGATCTTGGAGATGCTGTGGAGAACATTGGGCTGTATTCTGAAGACCACAAGAGGGCCTCTGAAGGGATTTAATTAGAGGAAGTAAATGATCATTTTTTTGTTTTAGTCCCTTTTGGGTGCTGAGTGATGGGAAAAAGTGAAATTGGGGGTTCAAACCTAGAAGTAGGGAGCAGAGTTCAGTGATCTAGGAGAGAGAAGGTGGTTGTGGATAAAGTGAAGGTTCCTGTGGCCAAGATTCTCACCTGACCCTGGTTGGCTAGCTCACTATTGTGTGGACAATACATTGTTATTGACTCTATATAAAGAGCTCTGCCCAGTGCTCTGGGTGGCACGGTGGCAGGGCTGCAGGATTGCAGAGACAAGACTGTGCTGGCAAGTGGTGGCAGCTCCAAGGACAGAGACTGAGACAGTTGCAGGGGTAGAGAGGCCCAGAGACAGAGACCGGCTTGCTGCATGCAGACTTGCTCCGAGTGGATGGGATTCTAATGACTGACCTGCCACGGTGTTAATAAAGTTGGGTATAACCCTTTCACCCCAAAAATGTTCTATTGTTATTTCTTTGGTCTAATTGAATCCATAGCGAACTTGCCTGGGGCTGAAACCATTGGCAAAACTGGTGATTCACCTGATGTGGGGAGTGATGGAGGAGGGGCGTTCTAGAAGGATAATGAATTCTCTGTGCTGTAGTTAAGAGTCATCTGGGTGTCATTTTAATGTAAACTATTAGGCAACTGAGGCAGATGAACTGGATTTTTGGATTTTGGCATTTTTGAGGCTTTTTTTTTGTAAGTTTTCAGTTCTCCATTTAGTTTCTGATTCAGTGCCATGTTCTGGCTTGTGGGTGAGTTTTTGTGTTCTTCCTCTCTCCTGGTCTCTGGCACCAGGGCAGGAGAAAGACAAATTAACATCACTGTCTTGCCAATAGGTTTTAGCCCTGGCAAGTTTGCTATGGATTCAGTGTGACCAAAGAAAATTGACAGCAGACTGCTCTTTGGGGTGAAAGGGTTATACCCAACTTTATTTCCAGGTGGCAGGTCAGTCACTAGAATCCCATTCAGTCAGAGTGAGTCTGTATGCAGCAAGCCAGTCTCTGCCTCTGGGCCCCTCTGTCCGAACAGCCATCCCACACAGCTGTCCTCTGGGCCTCTCTGCACAGTCGTCCCACACAGCCGTCCTCTGAGCCTCTGTTCTCGGCGCTGCCACCACTCCAGCCTCTGCTCTGCTCTCCTGCAGCCTTGCAGCCCTGCCACTGTGTCGCACCCAGAACACTGGGTGGAGCTCTTTATATAGAGTCAACAGCCACATATTGCCCACAGGGGTGCAGTGAGCTAGTCATCCACGGCCAGGTGAGAATCTTAGTCACAGGAACTCTCATTTTATCCACAATCACTTATTTTATTTCCTCTTAGTGGTAGCTGGACTAAGTAGGAGGAGGGACTATTTATCCCTCTTTGTTCTGGCAGCATTTCCTGTCAGCACTCATTTAATGTTGCTGCTAAGAGCAAAGTTGTTATTTTTCTAGAGGTATAGAAGTTATATTGCTAATCTGTTATGTATAGAGAGGCAGAGCCTCTAATGGAAGGACTTTAGCCCAGGGTTCTAGTGCTAGCTTCCATACTGACTAGCATTATGAGCTTAGGCAAGTCATTTCACCTGTTGGTGTGTTTCCTAGAGAAAGGAGATATCTACCTGACTTGTCTTAACAGGAGTGTTACGGGGATTAAATGAAATGATATATATTGGGATGATTTGTAAATATTAAGAATGGTATTTAAATATAACGGTATTAGTGCTAGGTTGTTTAGGTTTGTGGATAAAATGAAAGTTCCTGTGGCCAGGATTCTCACCTGGCCCTGGTTGGCTAGCTCACTACACATGTCTGGGCAATATGTTGTTATTGACTCTATATAAAGAGCTCCACCCAGTGCTCTGGGCGACTCGGTGGCATGGCTGCAAGGCTGCGGGAGAGCAGAGCAGAGGACAGAGGCCCAGAGGCAGAGACCAGCTTGCTGCATAAAGACTCACTTTGAGTGGATGGGATTTTAGTGATTGACCTGCCACCATGGAAATAAAGTTGGTTATAACCCTTTCACCCCAAGAACGTTCTGTTGTCATTTCCTTGGTCACACTGAATCCATAGTGAACTTACCTGGGGCCGAAACCCATGCAAGGTTCTATCTTCGAGGAGCTCAAATACTACTGATAGTCAAAGCCTTATTTCTCAAAGTGTGGGCTGTGGATAGGAGCTTATTAGACATGAGGAATGTTGGGGATCTTGTCATACTTACTGGATCAGAGAACCCTCTTATAGCCATCAGTCCATCTAATCTTCAGAAGAATCCCTTTAGGTAGGTTGGGAAGGTGTTAACTTAGCCTTACTCTCGAGGATATGGAGGTCTTAAAAGATCAGCTGCTTACCTGAGGGTAAACAGCTTTATTAGATTTAGCCGTATTAAGTTGCCAGTATTCACAATACTTGCAAGTTAATAAGTGGGGAGAGCCAGGTGTCAAGTCCAAGTTTTCTGACCCCACATAAAATGCACACTATAGTTCCTCTTTTTATTTTTGTTTGTTTATTTATTTATTTATTTTTGTATCATTAATATACAATTACATGAGCAACATTGTGGTTACTAGATTCCCCCATTATCAAGTCCCCACCACATACCCTATTATAGTCACTGTCCATCAGCATAGTAAGATGCTACAGAGTCACTATTTGTCTTCTCTGCATTATACTGCCTTCCCTGTGCCCCCCTCCCCCTACATTATATGTGCTAATCATAATGCCCCTTTTTCCCTGTATCCCTCCCTTCCCAACCATCTTCCCCAGTCCCTTTCCCTTTGGTAACTGTTAGTCCATTCTTGGGTTCTGTGAGTCTGCTGCTGTTTTGTTCCTTCAGTTTTTTCTTTGTTCTCATACTGTACAGATGAGTACAATCATTTGATACTTGTCTTTCTCCTCCTTGCTAATTTCACTGAGCATAATACCCTCTAGCTCCATCCACGTTGTTGCAAATGTTAAGATTTGTTTTCTTCTTATGGCTGAATAGTATTCCATTGCATATATGTACCACATCTTCTTTATCCATTCATCTACTGATGGACTTTTAGGTTGCTTCCATTTCTTAGCTATTGTAAATAGTGCTGCGATAAACATAGGGGTGCATCTGTCTTTTTCAAACTGGGCTCCTGCATTCTTAGGGTAAATGCCTAGGAGTGGAATTCCTGGGTCATATGGTATTTCTATTTTGAGTCTTTTGAGGAACCTCCATACTGCTTTCCACAATGGTTGAACTAATTTACATTCCCACCAGCAGTGTAGGAGGGTTCCCCATTCTCTGCATCCTCGCCAATATTTGCTTTTGTTTGTCTTTTGGATGGTGGCCATCCTAATTGGTGTGATGTGATGTCTCATTGTGGTTTTAATTTGCATTTCTCTGATGATTAGCGATGTGGAGCATCTTCTCATGTGCCTGTTGGCCATCTGAATTTCTAGTTTCTCTCTTTATAGGTGGCATGCTAAAATGAAGCCTAGGTCCTGGAGTGAATTGGGTGAATATCTTATTTTTGGAACTAGTTATTTCCTTAAAAGTCCAACATAAAAATTTGCTTTAAAATTAACACAAGCTTTTGAAGCACATGCTTGAATTATTTATGGGTTTTTACTAACTCTGTGAAGGGGGCTTGTGTTTCTGTGCGTCTTGTTATTTTCCCACAAGTCAGTGGGATGCGTTACATACTGTGTAAACAATATTCTGCTCATAGTAGGCTTTGGGTAAACATTGATAGAATTAGAAAATAATTCTAATTTTCATGAATCACAATAGTGACCCATGTTGAATTTGAAATTGTGATGCATTCATTGCTACACTGGTAACTCTTCAGTGTCTCTTCTGTCATAGGTGGTACTGGGCTATTTGCTGCAGATTCTTTCCCTGCGAGCCTAGGGAGAAATTTACATCGAAGACTTTTCTTATCATGGCTTTAGTTTACAAATTGTTGAGTGGTTCTTATACTCTCAGAAAATGCCCCAAGCCACATGTTGCCTTGTGTCCACTTTTGGATACTCGCTTTGCTGACTATTGTTCCAGTAGTCTTCAGAAACCAGAGGCTGCTCCAGGCAAAGCCTCCTCGCAGAAGACTGAAGAAGGTTTGCAAGAACATCAACAGAGAGAAGTTGCTTTGGATATAACTTCTCCTGAGGAGAAGCCTGAAGTTAGTTTTGATAAAGCAATTAAAGATGAAATAAAGGACCATTTTAGGCATTTGAAGGATGATATTGTGAATCACTGGATGGGGCCTGACTGTCGCCCTCTGCATGAGGTCTTGCTGGAACAAGCCAGGGTTGTCTGGAAGTTTCGTGGAAAAGAAGACTTAGATAAGTGGATAGTGACTTCTGATAAGACAATTGGAGGTAGAAGTGAAGTGTTCCTGCAAATGGGCAAGAATAACCGAAGTGCACTGCTGTATGGAACTCTGAGCTCAGAGGTGCCACAGGATGGGGAAAGTGGCCGCAGTGGATACTGTGCAATGGTCTCCAGGATTCCACGGGTAGGTGAGGCCCAGCAGCCTGTTTTCTAGTGAACTGGGATGAACTCCATTGCAATATGAACTACATAGCAGATAGCTTTTGTTTCTGTAAATGAAAACACCCAGCATCTCATGTTTGTAAGGTTAACTAACTAGTGGGCACAAGCATGAAGCAGAAGCACAAGAGGGATGTGGCTCCTGAGGAGAGGCTCCTTGTTACTAGGCATCACTTTGCCCCGGTGGGACATTCTTATGTTAGAGGAGCCCTTAGAGGCTAGATTGAATGAAGATCTAGGGAGGTCTGCATCCCCTCTAACAGACTACAGAGCCTGTAATGGCCAGGGCGTTCCTTAGAGTGGAGGTGTGGTCAGCCTATGGCTTTAAAAAATTTTTTTATGGCAAACTTTTAGAATAGTTTTAGTTTTACAGAAAAATTGCACAGATGGTATGAGAGTTCCTGTATGTCCCTCATCCAGGTTCTCCAGTTGTTACCATCTTACATTATTAATATAGCACATTTGTCACATCTAAGAAGCCAACATTGGTGCATTATTATTAACCAATTCCAGGCTTTATTTGGATTTCATTAGCTTTTCCACTAATAACCTTTCTGTTTCTGGAATCCCATCCAGGACACCACATTACACCTAGTTGTCATGTCTTCCTAGGGTCCTCTGGTCTCTGACAGTTGCTTGGTCTTTCCTTATTTTTCATGAGAATTTGAGAAATACTGGTTTGGTATTTTGTAGAATGACCTCAATTTGGGATTTTCCAATTTTTTTTTCCTGGTTAGACTGGGGCTCTGGGTGTTTAGGAAGAATACCACAGAGTTGAAATACCCTTCTTATCACATCCTGTCAGAGGTGAATGTTAGCACGACTTAGCACTGCTCGGTTAACCTTGATTGCCTGGTTACGGTAGGTTTCTCAGGTTACTCCATTGTTGAGTTACTTTTTTTCTTTTCTTTTTTCCATATTCTGTTCTTTGGAAGCAAGTCACTTAAGTGCACACTACAGTCAAGATGTGGGGTAGGACATGGGATTATGTTGTAGTAGTATGTGCATAAATTATTGTGATTCATCAGAAAGGCAGACTTATTCTCCCACATTTATTTATTCAGTCATTTGGTATGGACTCACACTTTGGGTTATAATCCAATCCTGTTATTTATTTTGTTGCTCAAATTGTTCCGTCTTTGGTCATTGGGGAGCTCTTTCAGACTGGCTCCTGTCCCTTTGACATACCCCCATCCTTATTTTTGTCCGAGCAGTTGTTGGCACTGTAAGATGCTTTGAACTCATCTTGTATTTCCCCTGCCCCAACCCTAGAATTAGCCATTCCATTTTTTGGAGAATGGTATGAGAAACCAAGATCTGGGCGCTGATCGTTCCTCACTTCGATGTGTTTCATTCTAGCCTTTCCTGTCTTGTTTATGTGTAACTTCCCTACATAACAGTGAGAAACCTGCCTCTCACCATTTACCATCCATTTACATATTAACAACCACAGTATATGACATGTAAAGCAGTTTCAGAACCCTGTGAGAAATAACTTTACCAACTAGAGTACAATGTTTATGTATAGTTTCTTTTTTTAAATCTTTTTATTAAGGTATCATTGATACACACTCTTATGAAGGTTTCACAAGAAAAACAATGTGTTTACTACATTCACCCTTATTATTGAGTCCCTCCATATCCCATTGCAGTCACTGTCCATCAGTGTAGTAAGATGCCACAGAGTCACTACTTGTCTTCTCTGTGCTACACTGTCTTTCCTGTGACCCCACACATACCATGTGCACTAATCATGATACTCCACAATCCCCTTCTCCCTCCCTTCCACCCACTTTCCCCCACCCCTCCCCTTTGGTAAGTGCTAGTTCCTTCTTGGAGTCTGTCAGTCTGCTGCTATTTTGTTCCTTCAGTTTTGCTTTGTTTTGGTATTTGTCTTTCTCTGCCTGACTTATTTCACTGAGCATAATACCCTCTAGCTCCATCCATGTTGCTGCAAATGGTAGGATTTGTTTTCTTCTCATGGCTGAATAGTATTCCATTGTGTATATGTACCACATCTTCTTTATCTATTCATCTACTGATGGACACTTAGGTTGCTTCCATATCTTAGCTATTGTAAATAGCGCTGCAATAAACATAGGGGTGCATATGTCTTTTTGAATCTGAGAGCTTGCTTGCTTTGGGTAAATTCCTAGGAGTGGTATTTGTATTTTTAGTTTTTTGAGGAACCTCCATATTGCTTTCCACAATGGCTGAACTAGCTTACATTCCCACCAGCAGTGTAGGAGGGTTCCCCTTTCTCGGCATCCTTGCCAGCATTTGTTGTTCCTAGTCTTTTTGATGCTGGCCATCCTAACTGGTGTGAGGTGGTATCTCACTGTGGTTTTAATTTACATTTCCCTGATAATTAGTGATATGGAGCATCTTTTCATGTGCCTGTTGGCCATCTGAATTTTTTCTTTGGAGAAGTGTCTGTTCATATCCTCTGCCCATTTTTTAATAGGGTTACTTGCCTTTTGGGTGTTGAAGCATGTGAGTTCTTTATATATTTTGGATGTTAACCCCTTGTCAGATATGTCATTTACAAATATATTCTCCCATACTGTAGGATCCTTTTTTGTTCTGCTGATGGTGTCCTTTGCTGTACAGAAGCTTTTTAGTTTGATGTAGTCCCATTTGTTCATTTTTGCTTTTGTTTCCCTTGCCCGAGGAAATGCATTCAGGAATAAGTTGCTCATATTTATATTCAAGAGATTTTTGCCTATGCACAGTTTCTTTTGTCTTTAGCCTTATAGTTTCCAAAGTTCCTTAGGTCAGCAACTTTGTCTCACTACCAGCCTAGGCTTTTTGCAAATTTGCTGACCAGGTATTGTTTCAGGGCTACCCTGGACAAGCCCTATGTCTGGCCTGGCCAGTTTTACAGATGGGAAACTGAGGCTTGTGGAGATTTAGTACAATGCAAAGTTGTGCAGCTAGTAAATGACAGTTCATATCTGAGCACTGGTATTCTCGAAATCAGATTACCTGTGAGATTGAGATAAAAAAACACCTTTGGAAATTAACACTAAATTCCAGTTTCAAAGAGAGATGATACAGATCGTCATTAAGAACATAGATTTTGGAGTTAAACAGCAGTGGCTCTAGTACTTTGTAGTTTGAGTGCTCAGTTTCTTTATAAAATGGAATACAGTGAGAGTACCTGAAAGGGCTGTTGTGAGGATTGAATTGTGTATGCTAAGTGCTTAATGTAAGTTTTCAATGGATGGTAGCTTTTATAAAGTATCAGTTTTAAAACTTGAGCTCTTTCATAGTTTTGATTTATGGGAAGACATTTGTCATAAATTGGTCTGCTCAGAAGCCATAGTTACATAGGACCAGGGAAAGGAAATACATACACTCATTCACTTCCGTTCAGTACCGAGTGAGTATCTACCCTGTGTGAACACTGACCTGGGCCAGTAATGTCTCGAACATTACCTTAGAAACATATAACTATGTCAGTGTTTTGTACTAAAATAAGAATCATCAAATTTATCTGCCTTCTTATGGTGGCAGAAAGCCAAAAAAGACAGAAGGATGGCTAGTGGATCCTTTTGATGCTGCAAAAGGTGGTGACTCACATTTTGCTCATAGTGAAACATGAGGTGAAATTCACTCTATGTGTTTTAGGGCCCTTTTGAGACAAAGAAGTCTTATGATTGGTCTCATTTCAACACTCTTTGTCTCCGTGTACGTGGAGATGGTCGACCTTGGATGGTGAGTATCAGGGAGGACACGGACATAATCCAGAGGAAGAATCAGATGCACAGTTACTTCATGTTTACCCGCGGGGGCCCTTACTGGCAGGACATCCAGGTAACAGCACAAGCCTTTATTATATATGAAAATGAGGTCCTTTGAGATCGTGGTTACATTGTAGTTTACTTTCCCTTGGAAGGTGTGGAAAGGGAAAGGAGGAAGAGTACGTAGAGGCAAGATTTACCCAGTTGGCTTTTTATTTCATTCATATAAATGTTAGCTTCCTCATCAGGAAATATTTTTGATAATGCTATGGCCTGGTTCATGCTGAGTCATGGCTACATCTGTTTCTGTGCCTAAGTAGATGTTTCTTTTTGCTTCTTCCATTATCACCTTTTCTAAGGCAACTCTACTAACCAAGTATCCCTAACTTAGTAGAAAAGCTCCCTTAAGAGTATAAAGTATAAATACTTAATACTTTATAATCAAAATTTTTACTTATTTCTTGGTAAAAGAAGTCACTCTTATTTTTTAAATGAGAGGAAGCTTTGAGAAGGTAAAAAATGTTTACCTGGACCATTTTCAGACATCTCTCCCACTCTCACCCTAGTCCAGGCCTTTGTATTACAGAGCATCTTTATTGATTTCCCTTTTGTCCTACTGCCCCCTAAAATCCACTCTCCGTGTAGCCAGGGTGATCTTTCTAAAGCATAGTTTAGATTACATCACTTATATGCTTAAAACCCCCCCGTGTTTTTCTCTTAGAATAAAGTCTAAATTTCTTACTGTGGCCTGTAATATCAGACCCCTTTCCTCATCTTCAGTCTCTCCCCGTCCCTCCCTCCTCCACACTGGTCCTTGTCTGTGTGTCACACATGCAGTAAGCTCACTGCCATCTGAGAGCCTTTGTACTTGGTGTTGTACCTGCTGCTATGCTCTTCCCTCACATCTTCACCTGTTTCCTCTTTGCTGTCACTAACCCTGATGCTCAAAAGTTGCCTCAGCAAGGCCTCGCCTGACCTCTCCAGCTTAAGGTACACACGCCTTTTACCCAGTCACTTTCAGAACCACAACCCTGGTGTTTTTTTTTTTTTTGTATCATTAATCTACAATTACATGAGCATTGTTTAATTTTTTCATAGAACTTATCACTGAGTAAAATTCTTTCATTCAGTCACTTGTCTCTTTTGTTTACTGCTACCCTCTACCCTACTCCCCTGGAACATAAATTCTGTAAATTCCGAGAGCCTGAAGGTCATCCTGGATTCCTTTTTCCCTTGTCTGTATTGTTCATAGCTGTTTCCTCTGCACCTAGAACAGTGCCAGCGTTTAAGAGGCACTTGACACATATTTGTGCATAATATAAACAAAAAACTGTTCCATATGTAACAGATATACAAGTAATACATATAATGGATTATTAAACAAGTATTTCATTATAGAGAACTTGGAAAATGCAGGGAAAAAAATCTTGCAGTACTGCTACACAGAGGTAAAATATTCCTTTTGATTTACTGTATACCTTCAGACTTTTCTATTTACATCACTTTTTTTTTACAAAAATGCTACTGTGCCAATACTGTTTTATAATATTGTTCCCACTGACCTGAACTTTATATATAACTTTCTGTTAAAATATATTTCTGTCATTTTAAATATCTGCATATTTTATTATATAGACCATGATTTACTTAATCCATCCTCTCTTGTACATTTGGATAGTTTTCAGAGTTTTTCTCTATTGTACCAAACTCTGAGGTAAACATCCTTATTTTCTTTAAGATATATTCCTAGAAATAAAATTCCTAGAATAAATGGTGTGTACATTTTTAAGGCCTTTGATGCATATTGCAGAATTATTCTCCAGTATCACTACCATTTAATCATTAGCAATTACTTTCTTTCCTGAAAATATATACTCCTAATCTTTGGTTGGAAATAGTAGTTGTTTGTAACAACTCTCTTTAAATCATTATGGGAAAGTGTTGGAAGATTTTTTAAAAATTAAATCTTAACTAGTTTTCACTTCTTCCTGAATATTTCTCCTTTAGTAAATAGAAGTAGAATGCTTAAATATTTACTCTGATTATAAAGAGAAAACCTAGAGGAAAATGATGGAAAAATTATGTGTGTTAGGTTTTTTCTGTCACTTGTATGGACAGAATAACTGTTGATACCCTTTGTTTTTCATGTTTCTACTTAAGATTTTTGGGAGTTTTTTTTTCTTACTGATAAATACAGTCTTATATTGGTTTCAAGTATATAACAGTGGTTCAGCAGTTACCCATATTATTAAATCCTCACCCCCTCTAGTGCTGTTACTCTCCGTCAACATAGGAAGATGTTACAGAATCATTGGTTATATTCTCCATGCTGTACTGCTATCCCTGTGACCATCCTACATTATGATTGAGAATTTTTGTGCCCCTTTATCCCCCTCACCCTCTCCACCCACCCACCCCAATCCCTCCCCCACACCCCTTTCTTTTTAATGCAGGCTTCACATAGTTAATGTTTCTTCTTAGCTTCACTTTTTCCCAAGCTAATGAAGTCCACTTCCCTTGGTATGGACAGTGGTCTTTGAGAATTATGTGCCATAAAGACAGGAAATTAGTTGGAGCGGGTCAATGGAGTGGGTACCACATGCTCTTGAAGGCAAGCAGATAGCATTGATTCCACTTGCAAAATGTTTTAAATAATGAAGTAGATGAAGGGCCGAACCAGGATGCAAAATGAGAAATTGATAAGAATTTCCTTCCAGATTTGTTTGACAGACATGAAGGGAGCAGGTGAAATGAGGATGTGTCTGCATTTAGATTTGCTGTGTGAACAACTTGATCTTGTGCAAAGGTGGTTTATTATTATGAGCTTGAATTAAGTTTGTTTTTATGTCAACAGATGTTTTTGGTGATAAGTAATCTGAACAGTACATTAAAAAAATTTTTTCAAATCATTTTTTGGTTCAAAAATAAAAATGATACAAAAAGATATGTGCATTGAAAAGTCTCATTCCTACTCATGTCTCAGTCCACCTTATTCCCACCCATTTCTATAAGGTAACAACTTTTATCTACAAGTTGCTTATAGATTTGCAGCTTCTTTATGCAAATACAAGCAAATACAAATATTTTTATTTTCTCCTTTTTTTTTTTAACTCAAAATTAACACACTTTTGCATCTTCTGTGCCAGTTTATATTTTAAAATTTATATCCTGGAGAGCTTCCATATCACTCACTATATGGTATTAATCTTCAATCTTTGTTATTTTGTTTGGTATTTTCTGTTATATGCATATCCCATCATTTACTGAACAAGTCCTTTATTGATAGACACTTGGGTTGTTCCCAATTGCTATAGTAAATTTATTTTTTCTTTTTTCAGGTATTTTGAGATATTTTGAAGTCTGTTTTTAAACATATATGAGATTATACTGTAGGTTTTGTCTCTTTTTTTACTGGTAATATATTGTGGAGGTCTTCCCATTGCAGCTGTGTAGATATACTTCATGTTTTAAAATAAGTGCATAGCATTAAATTTGTATAGAATGCACCATAATTTATTTAACCATTCCCCTATTTTTCCTTTTTTTTTCCCTTAGAAAAACTCTATCTTTACATATTTTTTAGTTTTATCTGTAATATAAATTCCTAAAAGTAAAATTGGTAGGTCAAAGTTACAGCATTTAAAATTTGCTAGATAACTGCTGTATTAATTTCCTACTGCTACCTAAAAAATTGCCAGAAACTTCACAGCTTCAAACAACACACATTTATTAGCTCACAGTTAAGTTGGGACATGGTATGGCTAGGTTCAGTGCTCAGGGCCTTATAAAGCTGAGCTCACGGTGTCCGCTGGGCTATATTCCTTTCTAGAGGCTCTGGGAAGAATTGACTTCTAAGTTCACTCTGGTTATTGGCCAAGTTCCTATGATTGTAGGATTGACATCCTTTTCTTTACTGGTTGTCAGGTGGGTGCTTTTTCTCAGCTTCTAGAAGCTGCCTGTATTCCTTACCATTTAGCTCTCCATCTTCAAAGCCAGCAGTGAAGAATCTCCCCTGCATTGAAGCCCTCTTATGCTTCTAATGTTTCAACAGTCCCTTTTATGGATTAAGTCAAGCTTACAGAGGATTATCTTCCCAATAGTAAAGTCAACTGATTTGGGACCTTACTTCTGCAGTCCCTTCACAGCAGCACTGAGGTTAGTGTTTGAACACATGGAAGAAGACGTTTGTTCACTAGCAGGTGTAACTCTTGGGGACCGTATTAGAGTTCTGCCTACCACAATTGCCAGCTGCCCTTGAAAAGAATTTTACTGATCTGCACTCCTATCAGCTTTGTACAAATGTGCCTGCTTCATTTCCAACCCCATTATTGGGTTGTTTTAGTATTTTTTCAGTTATTTGTAAGTTTTATGTTTAGGATACTAGTTTTTTGTCCATAAATGTTACAGATATTTCTTTCCTAGTTTATCCTTTGCCTTTTGCCATCAAAATGTCATGATTGTACTCTACTATATCATTTTTCCTTTGGGACTTCTGGCTTAGAAAGGTTTTCTTCTAGTAGTTGTTTCATTAAAAAAAAATGAATGTAATCCAGATAATTAGCCACTTGTCATAATGTATATATTAATTTTAGAATTAAATCAAAACTATTATTTTAACATTGCAATTTTATACAGATGCCTCTGTTGCTTACATTTCAGCTACAACGTAAATGGTTTCTTTCAGATTCCTTTCTCCAAATTTTTCTTCTCTAATCAAGGAAGAATCCGGGATGCCCAGTACCAGCTTCTGCTTGACAGGGTAACATTTTCTTGTACTTGCACTCAGAACTCTGTTATTTTTAGTGAAATAGAACTGTGAGGATGATTTCTGTCCATTTTTGAAGGTTGGCAAATGAAAGATGCAAATTCCTTTCAAAGATGAAAGGCCACTGCTATCATACCCAGACAAAGATGTTGACTCAGATCTATCCTGTGAGCCAAAGCTCCATTCTGGAGGAATTTCAGTATGGTCATCTTTTCAGCGTGCCTACGGTTAATGTTAACTTTAAAATAAGAGAACAGTATTACAGTTCAGGAAAGCTTCAAAGAACCTTGGGTAGACATCCATGTTGTCCTCACTAGGCTTCAGTGGCACTACCTTAAAGGGAGAGGAGAGGAAGTGCAGTGTGGGGAGAAAAGCAGCCCTGTACTTCTGTGAAAATTTGCTATGGCACATGAAGACAATAGCAGACTTACTAAGGGCTGATAGGATAAAGACACAGCTATAGTAATCCCCTCTTGGAATTTCAAAACTTCAGGAACATTAGTATATGAGAGTTTGATCAATTTCTCTATTTTAAATTTAGATCTCTTCTATTGGATTCACCCTGGCTGATAAAGTGGATGGCCCGTTCTTCTTGGAAATAGATTTTATTGGAGTGTTTACTGATCCAGCCCATACAGAAGAATTTGCCTATGAAAATTCTCCAGAGCTTAACCCAAGACTTTTTAAGTAGAGATCATGTGGTAGTTTTGTAGAACTAAAGGTAATAATATTTCTGATGACACAAAATAAAATTAATAGCATCCAACCAATGGCTGGTCTGTATTCCCAAAGGCAAAATGCTGTTAAAGGGAAACAGCATGAAACCAGGTTCTAAGCTGCACCTTAATTTAAAGAATTGCATGTCTGATGCAGAGGTACTATGTAATCAACTGTTTTTGTTAGGATGATTCCTATTAGGCACAATTCCTAAATGAGAAGGCAGTTTCCAAAGCAAGGAATCTCCGAGATGTCTGTTGGATGGCCTTTTACTATTCTATTCCTTGTAGGTTTCTTCTGTTTTTTCTTCTTTATTTTTTGTTCTTTAATGAGACAGGTTTTTTTATTGTGGTAAAACATATTATATGATATTTATCATCTTAACCATTTTTTGGTTTACAGTATATAAACTAAGTGCAGCTTGTAAAACAGATTTCATCTCGCAAAACTGAAACTTTGTACCCACTGAACAACTTTTCCTCCTTCCCTCAGCCCCTGGCAACCACCATCCTACTTTATTTCTGTGAATTTGACTATTATTTAATTAAAGCTGCTTTATTAAACTTTTTATATTGAGGGAGGTAAATAATGCACAAATCTTAGTGCACAGTCTGATGAACCCTGCCACATGTATCACCCAGACCAAGACATCGAACATTATACTTTTTTCCCCTTCACCTATTTCACCCATGCCCCACCCCCTCCCCTGTGGAAACCACAGTTCTGTTGGAGTCTGTTTTGTGTGTTCATTTATTTTTTAGATTCTATATGTAAGAACATACACTATTTGTCCTCCTCTGACTTCACTTAGGATAATACCCTGTAAGTCTACCCATGTTGTTGCAAATGACAAGCTTTCATTCTTTTTTTATGGCTGAGTAACATTCCATCGTATGTATATATGTTTTTTTCGGTCTATTGATGGACATTTAGGTTGTTTCCATATTTTGTAATAGAGAATGTCATTTACAAATATACTCACCCATAGTAGGTTGCCTTTTTGTTTTACTGGTTTCCTTTGCTAATTATTTCCCAAAGACCCCACCTCCAAGTACCATCACACTGGTAATTAGGGCTTCAACATAGGAATTTGGGGAGAATACAAACATCAGTCCATAGTACCTCCTTAGAGAGCTGGTCCTCCAAAGATACATGATTCTTACTGTTTTTTACTTTATTAGTGACTAAAATACTAGACTAATGTCCCCAAAGCTTCCCCAGTCATCTTAAGTATTACAAAGATTGCATATATTAAAAATGGGACCCTGATTAATATAGTTTAAATTGATCAGTTCTTGTCATCTTAGCAGGTAGGAACTATAATACAGCCTGAATACGTTGAGAGAGCCAAATTTAAAATGAATAAGAGAATAGACAAAGGCTAATAGCTTTTCCATCATCTTGGCCTAAAATCTACTTTGTATATTTTCATGTAATTAACATAAAATTCAGGTATTTAAGTTCAGTTTAGTGGGTTTTTTAAGTATATTTATAGAACTTTACAGTCTTTACTACTTTTAAGTTTAGAAAATTTCCAAAAGCCTAAAAAGATACCTCAATACCCCTTTACAATCACTCTTCATTCCACCCCCAAACCCAGGTAACTATTCTACTTTCTCTATGGGTTTATCTTCTCTGGATATTTCAAATAAATAGAATCATATAATATGTGATCTTTTGTGTCTGACTTTTCACTTAGCATAATGTCTTTGAGGTTCGTCCACGTTACATAGCATGTTACCAGTACTTTTTGTATGTAATAACCTTTCAAAGTGATTGAGTCATTTTACCTTCTAGGCGGCAGTATATTTGACAGTGACTCTGAGATTTCCTGATGCATCTGATCTCTGCTTTTTGGTGGCAAACTGAATTTATTCAACACCAGGAGTATTCCATGTTCTGTGGGTTCATATATGTATAATGATCAGTATAATAGAATCTGATAGGTGCTGTGAAATACAAAAGAAGGATATGGTCCTTTCTTCTTGGGGTGGGAGTGAGTGGTCAGGAAAGGTTTCAGAAGGAGTACAAGTTAATTCTTGTTAATCTTAGCTGGTCCATTAAATCTTAGAAGCCAATTATGTTTACAAAGAATGAATCACCATGAGAAAAATTTTATTTATGCAATCATAAGCAGAACAAAACTTGGAAGCTCCACTTAGGTGCAACAAACATGGATATGATGCTAATCAACTATTTTCCATAAATTGAGTAAGATATAAATTAGAGCACAATAGTCCTTAAAGCAGCAACCCTTACAGGTCAATATGGTCCTATGTATTTTTAAATAAGCAACGCTAGAATGAGCTAGTTTTTAAGAATACATTGAATGAGAAATAGTGATTACATGAAGTGATCTGAACAAAGATGCATATAAACTTAACACACATCACACAGGTAAAGTACTGATGCCATGATCAACCCATATGGCCCACTGTTTCATTAAGACAAGCTTCTCTAGAGGACAAAGAGGTGGCCTTTCCTAGCTTACCTATTCATAACTTGTTATTCCATTTCTATTAAAGCTTGTGGCATAACTAGCTACCATAAGGGAAATGCTTTTGCCTAGAAGAGGACTGCAGCTCTGTTAATAGAGTAGCAAAGGGAACTTGACATTAAAAATCTAGGTCAAGAATCTATAGGACAGATCTCTTTAGAAAACTGAGTTATGCAGGAATTTAGGTAAAAAAAATTTCAAAGAATTTGTGAGCTTTAAGGTAATAATGTCTTTTCAGAGACATAGCATGTGAAGAACCCACTGAAACTACATATATTGTGAACAAAGCAGAAAAAAAAATCTTAAGTGGGAAGAACAGTATAAAATATTTACAAAAGGGAGGTTCAGAATAAAGGCATATTTATAGTATGTTATTATTGATCTTTAGCCTTATGGGAGGCCCCTTCGAGCTCCCAAAACCTTTGCTCTCTTCTCCTTCCGTTCTTGCTCATGTTGCTTCCGTTGCTCCTCCCTAAGGACAGGAGGGACACATTAGGCTCCAGGGAAGCTCCACAATAGGCCACTTTAAAGAATTTGTTAGACTAATGTCCAACCTTCAAATGATATCAAGCACACTTGTGTAAAACACACTTGTTTAAAAACCATACTGACAGGACATTGCACTCTGGTAGTCTGTGAGATGGATGCCACACCTGTAAGTTACTGTTGTGTTACAAGGCCAGAAATGAGTACTCCTTTCTATGTTAAGGCAGTATTCTAAAATCATGGAACTGGAACCAGAAGGCCCCTTGGCACTCTAATAGCTGTAGTTTAATTTTGTTCTAAATGAGAAATCTCTACCACCACAAGTCAAAGTCAAAGGTCAAGCTAAAAAATCAGTCTAGGGAAAGTGCTAGAACTAGAACTAGGGCCTACTGACTTAAGCCACAATGTTTTTCTGGAAGGGATTAGGAGGCAAAGAAAAGCCCCGGATCACGTTAATAACCTTAATAGCAAATACAGTTAGTGAAGGTCTCGGTGGCAGCTGGATGTAGGCGGGTTACAGGATAGGTTACCCTTTATTAGGAGGGTTTCACACAAGGAATCAATCAGGACAAGCTGCAGCCCAGGGCTAGCCCTGGCCTGAACTTTATTTTCATGCAGAAGGAAACCTCTAAGGATCATCTTGGGGATCCCCCTGTGTAGGCCTTGAAGCCTAGTGAGCCTGGTTTTCCTGGGAGTGAGGAATTTACATCTATCTGCATACCTAGTGCCCTGAGCACTTGGATGGTCTGGAGGGATATCCAGGCACACTGTCTGGGCAGTAATGTAAGAGCGGTGTCCTGAATCCAGGCCTTCTGTGTTGCCCATAGTGCTTTATAAACAGCGCAGAGCTTGGGCTCTACCTCAAAACTACTCAGTTAGAACCCAGTGTGGTGGGGCCTAGACACATACACTTCCAGAAAGTTCTACATGTGATTCTACTTCTACCCTCTTCTTAAATACTACTATTAAGAGGTTCTGCTTCTATATAGTCTTTCAAAATGAAAAGAATTATAGAACAGGATAATTATGTACTCACCTGGTCTGGAGATGAGGTTGTTTATAAGTTTTCTTGTAGAAGTTAACTCTGTTTACATGCTCATTCAGAGAACTATTTTCTTTTGATTGTCCCCATGGTTTCAGTTTTCCTAGTTTAGGACAGAGACAAAGACAGATGTAAAAGATTCTTATATTTATATTCCCAATTTTATTCTCTTCATCTGTGGCTCCTTGCTTGCTATTAACATTTATGCTTTGTGTTTATAGACACCTGCCAGTATAATTCTATTTCAGTTTCATATTTCAGATATAAAGTACATTCTTTCTCTAAAAATAAAAGTGTGTTCTACTTTTTAATCCTAGGAAAGTCCTATACAAAAAAATCAGTACTGAAAAAAAAATTAAATCCAACTACATAGCACTTTAAAACCAAGTGTACCCCAAGGTTGCATAGGTATTAATAATGTTTAATACTAAAGTAGTATTTCATCTGTGCAATTTGTTATTACCATTACCTATTAAACCATACTTGGAATGGAACAAGCAGGAATGTTTTATCAGCTTCAGAACTGGGATCAAATCTCCAATGTTTATGTTTTGCTGTATTTGCATAGTTCATGGTCTATTTCTGAGCAGCAATGATTGTCATTTGTGGTGTTTCCCATTTTATGAAAAGGACTTTCATACCCAGTGTATCATTTGATCCTTTCAATACCTGCTGAAGTAGTAATTATTTTTCCTTTCATAAAGGAAGGAAGGGACTTTTCTAGGATACAAAAATAATACGAAGCACAGATGAAGCTCTAATCTAGGTTTTCTACTGTCAGTAGAAGTCAGTGGTGGTCAGAGTCATTTTCTTAACACCTGGTATGTGCCAGGGACCATTCTAGGTGCTGGGGACACAGCAGTGAAACGAGAAGTCAAAAATCCTTGTTCTTTTTGGCTTATATTCCAGTGGTATCAGCAGATAATTATCATGTAACGTCAGGTGGTAATAAGTGCTTTGAGAAATGTAAAATGGTAAGGAGTAAGGACTGTGAAGCAGGGAGAGGAGGAAAGGCCTGAGTTGG